TCAATGGCGATCGTTTAATTGGGCCGCATTTTCTACCTGAACATCTGAATGGGCCGCGTTACTAATTTTTAGTAGAATTGTTTGAAAACCTTCCCCTTCGGGCTTACAGCAAATGTTGTTAAAATATTAACATTATGATGCTAATAAAAACTGATTTTTGGCAAGGCATGCTCAGACCTCCTCGAGGTTCTTGCTGGGCAACAACAACAATTTAATATGTTGATTGCATAAATAAAAAATTATTTATAGCATTTTAAATTATTATTGGCTGAAATGAGCAAACTGTTTATTTATTGTCTTTATATGAGCGAAAATATATAAATATGGCAACGTTGCATCTAGGGCGCGTTGTTCATATCGTAGCCGTGCATAATATTGTGAATAACCGGCTGACGTCAGCCGGTCAGTAACAGCCTGAAAAGGGGGTTAAATAATGATTTGAAAATATTTTTTTTCAGCTTAAATGTGCATTTAAATTTTTTTAATCAAGCCATCGTATTATACTCATTTTTATCTATCTGCTCTTAAAATTAATGACATTATGACTGAGAATCATCCTGTATATGTTGGGAAAATGTTGGCAAAACTGTTATTAATTGCATTTACAATAAAATTGATCAACATTAATTTTGAAATTAGCACCTTCATAAACAATTTGTTTCAAATACCGTCATAAATAAAAAATCTACAATGGTTAAATCGAGACTTCAAAGTGAACAAGATTTTTAAATCCATATCTTCCTATCCATTTATTCCAAAAAATATGATCTAATCAATTATAAATGAGAGGAAGAGAGGTAACCACCACATTGAAAATAAATTTGTCCTTTCACCTATTTTCTCATACAAAATTATATCATACTTTTACTTTTTGTTATAAACGGATAAGAAGAAATCTTAATCATCTTGGAATTCTAATTTAAGTATAAAAATTTTTAAAGATCCTATCTCCGCTACTGGTTGATATAATTATATACAAATTCAATGAATTTTTACCTTTAATCTACTTAAATCACTAGCCCGAGTTCATTGATCTACAAGAAATATCGTGAGATACTTGTGTAGACACCAAACTCTTCAAAAATACTGTATCTTGAAAACTAAGGCATTTTTTACATACATTTACAACTTTTTTCATTAAAATGATCTAAAAAATTATTTAATAAACCCCCAAACAAGCACATATTTTGAAACTATAACTTTTCTCAAATCCTAGTCTGCTATGATTTTTTTGTTTGTGGTTTCATGGCAAGAAGTGTAAATACTCCAGTCGGCAGAGGCCGAAAAGTTACTGTTGGTGACATTTTCTTGATAACTCGGAAATAACTGCACAGGAATACTTTAAATGATGAGTATAATAACAGGCTAATTTGCTGACAAAGTATTTTATCAGGAAAAAAGTTATTAACAATTTAATCGTGAAAAAAATTTTTTTTAGTAGTTTCCTTTAAATAACTCAGCGGGATGACTGTACGAAAAAATGCTTAGGGCATGATTTTGTTCGTAATAAAAATAGCTACAAAATGGCGGTGGTCCGATTACGAAATTTGCAATAACAAAGCCGTGAGATTGAAAAAACGGTTTAAAACGCCATTTTTTTTAAGTTGCTGTAAAAATGTCAATTATAAACAAAAAGTGATAAAACTTTCGAAAACTACAGTTCAATATATATGCAATAATGACGCTAAAGCCGAAAATCAGGAGAGCAAAACTTTTTGTTCTATAAGGTGTTATACATTCATCGGCATCTGAAACTCGAAACTTTGCCAAATTTGTTCGAAACTTTGCTGACACTTGAAATTTGGTATACACATAGTGTAAATATGCAGAAACTAAAAGCAATTTGCAAAATTCAAGTATCTTCATTTTTGCAGTTTTGGTAAGGTTTTGTACGTCACCCTAGTTTTATACGTCACAGTTTTTTAAATTTTTGGACGTATATTTATAAAATATTCCATTACGGTAGATTAGCCAGCATAATTATCTACAATTTAAAAAAATATATATTTTCATCGTTTAGATCCTAAGCTACTTAACATTTTGCGCCTGTTAGCCGTAGTCGTATATTATTCAACATATTAACATAAAACAAAATCGTACGTGTGGGGTAAACCTTTTACTTTAAGTAAACAATTGTTTAAATTTACTGTTGCATATTTCTAATAGTAAACAAGCGCCAAAGAGCGGAGCTCGCGCTCGAAAATGAAAAGTTAAAGGTTAAAGAATATTAAAAAAAATTTTTTTCACGATTAAATTGTTAATAACTTTTTTTCCTGATAAAATACTTTGTCAGCAAATTAATCAGTTACTGTACTCATCATTTAAAGTAGACCTGTGTAATTATTTCCGGGTTATCAAGGTTTGACACACGCCGAACCTCTACCAACTGGACTAAAACTCAATTTTTAATTTTTTTTTTAGCATTTCTATACCCCAAAGAATTCTAATTTTTGGAGACTGCGTTCAGAAGCTGCAAGAACTTTCAGATGAATTAAAAATAAAAATTGAAGTTTATTTTCAAAAAATTTTCCCTTAGAAAAATGATTTGCAAATTTGAGGAAGTTAGTTTCCGAACATGCACATTGTGTTTATTTAAAAACTGAGTTATCATTTTCCCAGCACAAGTTACTGCTGGAGAATTGAATAGCTTTATAAAAAACAAAAAGTAAAAGAAAAAGTTTATTGAACTTTTAATAGTTTTTATGTTAACTATTTGTTCATCTAATAATTGTAACTGTTAATATCTGTTATATTCTAATTTTGTATCTTCAGAAATCTATCTATTAAATTAGAGAGAAATACAGGGTGACCTAGAACTTTTGCCGCCCGGGGCAATCTCCAATTTGGCTCTCTTTCTAAGTCAATCAAATGGTGGTTTTTATAAATTAATGAACATACATAAATAATTAATTGTAATTGAGACAAACCAGGGTTCATAGTTCAAAAGTAATGAAGAATTCCCTGACTTTTCCAGGTTTTCCCTGACTTATAAAAATAAAATCCAGGTCACTTGTAGTTTATTTTTACATACTAATTGGTGTTTATGCATTAAATTTTTTCTCGACTGGACTCCATAATCTTTTTTATACCCTAAGAACCTCTTATAAAGGTTTCAAAACCACAAATAGTTTTCTCTTTCAAGAACACAGGGCCGGCTTTCAGCAAAATTTCCAGTTGCAAACATTAAATTCCCTGACTTTCATGAATATTTTTAAAATTCCCTGACTATTCCCTGTTTTTTATGAAGAATAACGAATTCCCTGACTTTTCCCGGTATTCCCGGTTTTCCCGGCCGCTACGAACCCTGCAAACTATAGGTGGGGAACTTTTTTCACCATTGGATGCGATATTTAAATTAGGCAGTAATAAAGTAGTTGATATACCTATAAATGCTACTTTTATAAAAATACAAGATACTTTTTTAAAGGCTACAAGAAACTTACGGAGGTCACAGGTAGGGTTTCTGATTTCTCGGCTTATTTTTTTTTCTCGGGACTCGAGAATTCTCGACTAGGAATTCCCGGAAATTTTCGAATTTTCGAGAAATTTCTAAAACTTAAAAAGTCATAATTTTGGTATTGCAATACAAAACAAAAACACGCTAATATATTTATCATCATCAACATTTATTATTTATTGTCTTTTTATTAATTACTTACAAATGTTTCTACTTCTACTAACAAAACTAAATTAAACTTTGAGTATCTTCTTTAAAACCTTTAATTTGTCTTTTTATTAAACACTTTCAATATGTTTATTTCAATGTTTTTGAATCTTGACTTCCTTCCAATATTTAATAATCATTAATCACACAATCTTTTAATTAAACAAATAGATAAGGAATCTAACCGAAGAAATCTTGAAAAAAAAAAACAAGTTTTAATTTCAAGATACAGAAGCGTTCTTCCTATTTATTATTACTACTTATAATCACAATATTTTAATTAACAAAACAAAAATGAAATAATTTACTAAAGAAACAGGAACTAAATATTTTCAGAATCTACATCAACATTAGGTATCTGCTAATAAAATTTTTTCAGTCTTTTAACTAGATATGTGCATAAAAAATGAGAATCATCAAAGTAGACTAGCTTATTAGCCTTAAAAACTTAAAATAAATAAATCACGAGCTAGTCGAGAAACCATTTCAACCGCTCAGCTATTTATCGAGACGAACTGAATACACGAACTAAACGAACGTGCAGCGGTGTGTGGTGCGAGATGGGAGGGCATAGACAAGCACAATCAAGTCAAAAACTCAAGTCAAGAACTTAAAACACACGCTATTTTTAAATTTCTCAATTTCTCGACACTTTTTTCTCGTCTCGAGTAATGCTAGACTTCCCGGGAATTCTCGAGCAGAAACCCTAGTCACAGGTTCCCCACCTATTATAAAAAACATAAAAAATCACCGGAACCATTGATGTCTGTATCCGAGCAAAATTTTTACAGATAATATTTTCAACCCTACATTAACTTGATGATGGGGAAAAATATTCGAAATCATATAATTCATAATTCGTAGAAATCGAATAGTAAACTTATGAAGTGAACAAGTTGTTTTTTACAACTAAAAATAAAAAATGCCTTCCAGAGCGGATTTTTTTAAATCAATCAACACCTTGTATTTCCTTAGCGAAACATTTCGCAAATATAGTTTATATAGCAAACTCTATTATTTTTTTATTCTCTATCGGTCCCTGAAGTTTCCGCATGGGAAACTGGGTCTCCCTGTATATTTAAAAGTGATTGAGATATAGGTAAATATTTACTTTTTTCTTTATTATTTCCCTGATGTATACTCTAAGATGTTTATTTAACTTTTTTCTTCCTATTTCATAAAAAAAATTTAAGAGTTCATACCCACAACACTGCTTAGTTGATCTAGGCTAGTCCTAAATGCTACTATTTGGAGAGCTCATGACACCTTTTGAGTGAACTGGTTTAAGCACATAGATATATATTTAATAAGGTTCACACTGTAAAGTTACATTTACCTGGTGGTAAAGGAGGCAGATCATTTCCTTTTTTTAATTCTGGTGGAGTCATAAGTCTAAAATTGCCAAATTTATCTAACACAACTTGTCCTTGTGGAATTTTGTTAGGTAATGGAGCTGGAACTAACGGTTTAATTTTTCTTGGTGATTCTGGTTTTTTAGGAGGCTCTTTCATAGCCATTGCTCTTCTTACACTAACAGTTTTTTCAGTGGATGGAGCTAGAGGGACAACACTTTTCTTCGGAGGAGAGTCATTAAAATTAGTTTCATTTTTACTATGTTTATCCTGTTCATTTAGCCACTCTGTCGAAGGAGGTAATCGTTCAGGCTGTTTCTTTTTAAATCGTGAGTTGCCTGAAGTCCCTGCACCTATATGCATCTTCCATTTTTGATTCCCTACAGAAGCTGTGGCTTCTGCTACTGCTTGTCTAGCTTTTTGTTCTCTTGTTGGAGATGGAGAATCTAGTAAGGAATGTTTGGGGCTTTCATCTACTTCACTCCTTGCAAAAAAAAAAAAGTTAATTTCAAATGTGCGATAGTTCTGAAGGATCAATATGAAATATATATATATATATATATATATATATATATATAATATTTCTACCCCTCATTTTAATCATGAGAATTAGCCCAGAAGTCGGAGACTTGTGCGGGAGAGGAGGCGTCATATTATTATTATTAAGGAGGTATATCGGGGTCCGAGGGAAGTGAGCAGCGCAGGGGGAGTCCTATGCTTTTCTTATGGGACTAAAGCCTACTGCCAATTTGAAAAAATTAAATTATTTTGAAATTATTTGCGATAAACATTATCTATATAGCAAAGAAATCTACTCATATGCACATAGCATACATATTGACTAATTAACAACATAAAAATATCATATTTAAGCCCAGGAACGACTTATGTTGGTAGGCCTTAGCCACCATTCAGTGTAGGAATGAAGGAAATCTGGAAAACCTCATTAATTAGGGGGGTGGTCAAATGCCAACCAGTGTCAATCTCTCACATTGACCCAAGCCAACATTCTTCCAACCTACCATACCTGCACAGAAGGTGCCAATCCTCCGTACAAGCATAGCTAATCTACGGTCTAATGGCCACGGGAATCGAACCCGGGCAGAATTAGCACACATCGATTTAAGTACTGACGCCGTATGGCTATTGACCGATATATACTCTCTTCCAATCCAATATCTTTAATAATAAACAATTAAAAGTAACGTTTTTTAATTTAATATTGTTTACATTATAAATATTCCATTAATTCGAATTGTCCAGTACTCCGGCACTCTTATGTTTTTAATGGTACCGGATTAATGAAATTTTACTGTATATAATAAATTTTTTTTTGGATGGCAAAAAACTATTAAAACCAATATTTAATCAAAATGATTACAAAACTTACCTTTTTGTTTCTTTTTCAAGAGCATAATATGCATTTAACTTTGATTCCAATTCTTCCAAATCTGGTAAGCTGTCAATAAATCTGAAAAGAATTACGTTATTTTTAAAACATGAATAGAGTGGAAATACAATGTTGGTGGGATACTCTATGAAGCATATGGAATATGAAAGCATGACCTGTACCCTAGGAGGAATAAATTTTTTAACTAATGATAGTGGGGGAAACAACTACTCCACAGACTATACGTCCCATCTAGCATTGAATTACACCCTTAATATCTAGTAATAAATAGCCAAGATCATTTGTCAGGCAGGAGAGTCACCAGACATAGACCTGTTTCGAACTTAGTTCTCGTCAGTTTGCCATAGGTGAGATAACCGACGAACAATTTAGCTATTTAGATGTCTATCTACAGACATGCTTTGAGTGTGAGATATAACCTATATACTGGCACAGAGTGACATTTGCTATAACTATACTCGGCGGTCGAAATTATAGTGACTAATACATAATATAAAAACACTATTACCATAATGCGTATAAAATATAAAATGATTTCTATACGGTTCAATATTATTTATCTTTGTGCCGCTCGCCATGCACATCGGTTGAATCTATAATCGTGTATAGACTGAGTTACACTGAACGTCGATATATAACGAGCGTTCAAATAAAAACGTGGTCGAAGTTGGCTCTGACACATTGGACGTAGGGAGTAGCTTATAGCGACCAACTTAACCTCATTTCTCAACGAGCTGTATAGCAGCTGTCAGTTTCAATAACGTTAATGACTATATAACTTTATTTTAAAGAATAATCGTGATAACAATAACAAACAATTAAAGGAGCTGCGGAAAGTGTCCCCCTCCTTGTTATAACAATAAATTAAAGCAGCTGCTGAAAGTATCCCCCTCCTTGTTCCAAGCACTTTTCACACCTGTTCCTCAAAGAATTAAAGACATTTTCTAAGATGCTCGGGGTATTGTTAATTTCACGAATCTTGTCTATAAGTCGAGCCTGCAGATGGTTTAAATCAGGAATAGGCAGTTCAAAAATAGTGTTTTTAAGGTAAGACCACAAAAGAAATCATACGGCGTAATATCACATGACCTCGGTGGAAATTCATGTTCAGACTTATTAGTCGATTTTGGAAAACTTCCCTCAACATATTCATCGTCTCGCCTGCCGTATGTGCCCTTGCGCCATCTTGTTGAAAGTAAAAGTTTGTAATTTCGTTTTCTTCTAGCTGGTTAACAAGAGGAGCGATAATTTCTTCTCTATACCTTTGCGCAGTAAGAGTACCACTAAAAAAAATAGGTCCTTAAATACTCCTTCGATTGAGAGCACACCAAACTCCAATTTTTTGAGCGTGTAGAGGGCCCTCGACAAAAAAGTTATATGGTTTTTCAGAAGACCACATTCTCATATTCTGTGAGTTTACGTAACCACTTAAATGAAACCAGGCTTCATCAGAAAAAAAGGTGATATTATGAAGTTCACCGTAGTTGTTTAAAAACCATTCACAAAATACAGCCAGTCGCGGAAAATCAACTTCATGAAGTTCTTGCTGACAAGTTAAACGATAGGAGAACAAACGCAAATCTTTTTTTAAGACTGTGTGGCAGGTACCGACTGATACTCCCACAATTTGTGATAAAACACGTACAGAAATTCTTGCCGCATTTTCCATTATTTGTTGAACATTTTTTTTTAATTCTTCAGTCCGCTTTTTAGGTCCGCCGCTTCCTTCTTTTCTTGTTACACTGCCCGTTTCACGAAAAACATTAACACAACGCTGAACTGCACTTTGAAAAATTTTGTACTCAACAAGGTCGGGAAATTGATTTTGAAATTCTATGAAACATTCCTCAATAGAATACTTCCATATTCCATCAATCTTGCGTCCATTTCTAAAGTAGGACTCTATGATAAACACTTTTTGTTCTTGAGAAAACACCATTTAAAACGAAAATATTCAAATTGATAGCGGCGATATAGCGCTTTGACAGATGACGTTTAAGTTCATTTGCTATACGCTACGCCCTACGTCCAAATTTTCAGAACCAACTTGACCACGTATTTTGTCTCTGTCTTTTGCACTTGGTAGGGAATAGGGAAATGCTTATTTAGTGGGTGTAAACGGACTTGATTTGCCCGACCTGAGAAACGTCATAGCATAAGCGTAGACGAAGGGTCTAATTCCATGGCTATAATAAATTTATAAATTAAAAAAACACAACTGAGACGTTTTAAAATGCTGTAATAATTAAAATTGATCAAAGTGCCGGTTATAGCAAACCGTAAAAAATATTAGATATTATGTTTTATTATGTTTTTTCAGAATAAACTTTTTAACTAATGATATTGTGGAAAACAATTATTCCAGATATGACATGCTTTATAAGAATAATTCATTACTGATAATTTGTCACAATTTAAGAAATTTTAAACTGATTTGGCAAAATATGGAAGCAGAATTTTAACATCAGTGTTCATCTAGTTCTAGTACCTAATGAAGAATGTTGATAACTATGTAATTAGGAGAATGGGAATATTATTTGTAGGATTTATTATCTGATATTTTTAGAAGTAAATAATTTAGTACAAGTTAGGTTAGGTCTACCTTTATAAATAGACTTATTTTGAAAATGAAAACAGTTCCCTCGAAAACTATGCGAAATAATCATACAAATCAAAATGAAATGTTAAACTTTTTCCTACTACTTTTTATGTTATTTTTTTTAGTGTTGGCGCACTTATATAAATGTCCAGACGTGTGTCCAAACGAAAATGTCCAGACATTTATCGTATCTGCCCAGTATTCTTTCAGATTTGTAATTACCGCCATTTTCAGCTAACCCAGCTAACCTAAAAATCCTAAAACCTTCAATTCTTACATCTCTTGGAATTGTTTTATAGTCTTTTTGTGGTTTTTACTCCAATTATTCACGGGGGATACATTCAGAAAATGTACCGCGAATAGGGAATGGCATATTGTTTGGAAATATAGAGAATACGTTCCAAGATTGCAAAATAATTAATATTCCTCTGTGGCATTATCAATATGCCTCTTAGGCAGGTTCGATACAGAAAAAAATGGTACGAAAGTTTTCAAAATCATTGAAATCTGTTAATAAATATACCAACTGCCTCGTGTAAAAATATCAGATCGATTGCCAATATAATTTTTTTGAAATATGATATTAAAAATTATGCTCTTATACACAGGCTCTTATGCGAGTTGGGAAAAAACTTTAATCAAATGTGAATATTGCTCTTAAAAATGGTTAGGATCGGGAAAGTAAAATTATAATTAAAGAATTAAATATTAAATATTTTAAAATAATAAAAATATGCACTTACAATGTAATTATTGTGATAATGGAATGAATATATAACGTTTTGACAAATTTGAACAAACATCTCCTCCAATAAAGGCAAATATGGCAACACTACGCTGTATTTAACGCTTCGACTGACATGCTATATTTGAATAGCTCGATTATAGACTATACATGCTGTTACAAATTCGCTTCTTACTACAGGGATCTCGGAAACGGAAAGAGATACGAAGTAGCTTAAATGGGGGCAAAGTTGCGTAATCAGGGGACCAACATTATGCCCCTAAAAAATCAAGGCTAACATAATTAGTTTTCGAAATATTTGAAAAAAAACAACGAAATTTTGGGAATCCGTTTTTTGTTTAATTTCAGCCTTGTTTGAGGTGGTATTGAAAAAATAACACTATCTCATGGTCACTTTTTGCCCTCTATCAAATGGCATAATCAATTTTTATATGTAAAGCCGCGTCCACATTAGTAAAAAATTACATTGTACATGAGCGTTTGACATAAATTTTAAAATCTATGCGAATGTAGACCTGTTCACCGCATGCGAGAACACGCAAACAATTTCGCCACATTCTACACACGCGATCCGTAGCTGGTCGGTTTTTTTTCGGAGATCAATGGGATTTAGTGTGGACGTAGTTTTTGTGAACGATTGTGACTAATTTAATGGTGTTTATTGTTCGCATTGTATGATTCGTGTTATCAAAGTGGTGTTTATAAATTATTCAGCAGATATTTTAGATTCCCCTAATTATGTCTACTTTGCCAACATCATGACTGATGCAATGATAATAATGAAAAGAAAACCACTTTTTTGTTTTTATTGAAATGCCACTTATCCTTTGGATCCCATAAAAGCCTTTGTTTTTGATATTATTGTATAAAAGAACATCCTCTTTGTTTAAATTCATTTTTAACATTTAAAATAAGACCAAAACAAACCGCCGAAGGTCACGCACGTGTTAATAGCGGACGCACAGCGCACAACGTATATATTTATGCAACCAGCATGACGAATTTGCGTCGCAAATATGTGTCGAATGCTACATTCAACATACAACCTAATTATTTACTAATGTGGACGCGGCTTAACGTTTTGTCTTTCCAGGACCATCATCAACTTCATTTTTTTAAATAGGACCCTGGAAATTTTATTAGATATTTTGCAAGTCTTCATGGCCCCCAATACTGTACTGCCTCAGCCCAAACCAGATTCAGACGTTTTATCTCGAAAAATTTATCTTCAGTGTATTCGTTCCAAATTTATCTAAATTTTTTATTTAGATTTCTATGTTTATTGAATAATAATAATAATATCTCTACTCCTCATTCTAACTACGAGAATTAGCCCAGTGCGGGAGAGGAGGCGGCATATTATGATTAAGCAGGCCGCATTTGCGCCCAGGAACGACTTATGTTGGTAGGCCCTAACCACCATTCAGTGCAGGAATGAGGGAAACCTGGAAAACCTGATTAATTAGGGGGGTGGTCAAATGCCAACCGGTGTCAATCTCTTACATTGACCCAAGCCAACATTCTTCCACCCTACCATACCTTATACATTTGAATTGCGATGGTTTAGGATTGTGGTCTGAATAGGCTGGAGAATCGGTCTATAGAGAATTTCTCAAATATTGAGAAAGATTCAAAATAAACGCGATTGATGACGAAACGTATTCGAGCCGATTAAAGAAAGCGTTAGTCACATTTTCTTCTCAACACATATAAAAT